GATCAGGGACATAGAATGCAGAACAGCAGAGGAACAGGTCCTTTGGCCCACAATCTCTGAGCTGACCATGATGCTACTCTAAACCAATCCATCCGCCTGCGCATGGTCCATATCCATCTATTCCCTGTCTACTTAAATGACTGTTGAAATGCCTCTTAAACAGTGCTATCATATCTGCTTCAATCACACCCCGACTCCTCCCCCCACTCCCCCCAGCAGCATGTTCCAGGTACTTAACACCTGTGTTCTACAGTCATAGAGTCACAGAGACCTCCAGCACGGAGACAGGCCCTTTGGCCCAAACTGGTCCATGCCAACCAAAGTATCCATCCATGCTAAGCCTATTTCCCTGCACTTGGCCCATATCCTTCTAAACCTTTCCTATCCACGTATTTGTACAAATGCCTTTTAAATATTGTTAATATACCCGCCTCAACCACTTCCGCTGGCAGCTCATTCCATATGCGTATCATCCTCTGTTTAAAAAAGTTGCTCCTCACGTTCCCATGTATTCTTTCCCCTCTTACCTTAAACTGATTCCCTCTAGCCTTTGATTCCCCAATCCTTGGAAAATACTGAGTGCTTTCACCCTAACCATGCCTCTCATGATCTTATACACTTCGAGAGGATTTCCCTTCAGTCTCCTACGCTCTAAAGAAAAAAAGTCCTAGCTTGTCCAACCTCTCCCTATAACTCAGTCCCTTGAGTCCAGGCAACATCCTCATCAATTTCTTCTGCACTCTTTCCTGTTTAATAACATCCTTCCTACAGTAAGGTGACCAAAACTGAACACAATACTCCAAGTGCGGCCTCACCAACATCCTGTACAACTGTAACATAACTTCTCAACTTCTGTACTCAATGCCCTGACTGATGAAGGCCAGTGAGCCAAAAGCCTTCTGTTAAAAAAAATTGCCTCACACATCTCCGTGAAACTCCCCCTCTCAACTTAAACCTATGACCCCTAGTATTTGACATTTCCACCCTTTGAAAGAAAGAAACTCAGACTATCCACCCTATCCATGCCTCTCATTATTTAATAAACTTCTTTCAGGATTACCCCTCAACCTCCGATGCTCTTGCAAAAACAAACCAAGTTTGTCCAACCTTTCTTTGTAGCATATTGAATAAATCATTAAATAAAAAAAAACTGAAAGTCCTGCAGATGCTGAAAATCAGAGACAAAAACAGAAATTGCTGGAAAATCTCAACAGGTCTGGCAGCACCTGTGGACAGAAATCAGAGCTAATGTTTCCTGTCCAATGACCCTTCTTCAGAACTGATGGTAGCTAGGAAAATGTTTTTTTTATGCAGATGATAGGGTGGGGGGAGGGGGTAAGGAGCAAACCATATGTGGAGATAGAGCCCAAAGAGAGAAGAACAGTTGGACAGTCAAAGGAGTGGATAACGGTCAGTCTGGGAGAATGAATAGCTGCTAATGGGGGATATTAGTGACTAACACTGGGTAGTGTGTAATAGCAGACCATGTGATAACAAGGCCTGGTGTACGAGGGTTGGGGTAAGGACACGGGAGAAGGTGTCTCAAGCTCTAAAATTGTTGAACACGACATTGAGTCCAGAAGGCTGTAGAGTTCCCAAATGTAAAATGAGATGCTGTCCTTCCAACTTGTGCTGAGCTTTGCTGGAGCACTGCAGCAAGCCTGAGACAGAAATGATGGCCAGGGAACAAGGCGGTGTCCACCTTCTTCCTCAACCGAGGATTCCCCAGCAGCGTAGTTGACAGGGCCCTCAGCCGGGTCCAACCCATCTTCTGCACTTCAGCCCATATCCCCTTCCTTTCCCTCCAACAACAGTAGTAGGGCCTCTCTTTTCCATATCAACAATCCGAATAGCATCCACATCCAGAAGATCATTAGCCAACACTTCCGCCACTTCCGGTGGGATGCCACCAACAAACCCATATTCCACTCCCCTCCCTTGTCGGCCTTCCGTAAGGACCGTTCCCTCTGTGACACCCTGGTCCACTCCCAATAACCCCCCACCACTCCACAACACTGTCCCCTGCAACCACAGAAGGTGTAACACCCGCCCGTTTACATCCTCCCTCTTCAGTATCCAAGGGACAAATGCACCTTCCAGGTGAAGCAGCACTTTACCTGCACCACGCAATCTAGTCCACCACATTTGCTGCTCAAAATGTGGTCTTCTCTACATTGGGGAAATGAAGCACAGACTGGGTGACTGCTTTGCAGAACACCTTTGTTCTGTCCACAAAAAAAAACCCTGAGCTTCCAGTGGCCTGCCAATTCAACTTCCCACTCGGGTATTCAAAGGCAAGGCCGAGAGGCTGGCTTACAGCTACTGCCCCTTGATCCCATTCTTGCCCCTGAATGGCCTCAAATTTTAGTCAAAACTAAAACAACAAGTAGATTTCCCTGGTTCCACAGCAGGGGATCAGCCACTTTGCTGAGAAGGTAGATAATCTGGCTGGTGGCAAGGTGGGGCCCTTAAGTGGCTGTCATTTGGCAACAAAAGGGTATTAATTGCTGGTAAGGGTCCCCAGTGGACCTCACCCAGCAATTAATTTTGACTTGGTGAACTGTTAGCAAGTACCTCTCCAGGGTCAATTTGCCTCATTATTTGCACTTCTCATTCTCAGAGAGGTAAATTGCACCCACAGAATGCTCTCCGGGAATTAACAGAAGAGGTTTCACTGTTATCAACAAAATCAAATTCTGTTGGATTTATTTTCAAAAAGAAAACTATTGTATTTGGCACTGAACTGAATCTCCTAATAATCAGCATTGAAACTGCTTCTGTGCCACACAAAATATAAAACCGATTTTTGAGTCTGATCTGTAGGGTTGACTTTGCATTTTGGAGAACAGAATGGCATGAGAGAAAAGAATTAGGTCAGGCAAGTAAAAGACTTGAGCTATTATCCCATTATATTTTCAAGCCACAATTAAATGTTTACAAAAACTTGGATCTCACATTGGATACCTTTTTCAGGAACAAAAATACTTTTTGTGAAATATTACAGTTTGGTTTTATATCCCTCCCAAACGCCCTTTGATTATTACTAAACCTTCTTTCCTCTTTAGAATGATGGTTTGAAAATTACTTTGAAACACAATTTTCAAGACAGTTACATTTGTGCACCTTTAATTACACTGCTCCTGCTAATCTTCAGTCCCCCATAGATTCTAGTAAAGTGAATCACTACTGGCAAGTTTCTGTATTACCCTGAAGACACATCACATATAAAGCAATGGTACATATAGCTGTAGCTGCTCATCTTTCTTCTAAGCCAAATTGGTAATCATGGATGAGGGCAATGATTAGCACGAAGAATGGGCAGAGCCAAAGAAAATAAGATGAAAAAAATGATTATGCGAGTTTTGCCCAATAATTTGGAACAACGTTCCTTAAAAATACAAAACCAAAAAAAAAACTAACTTGACAGAATGCTGCCAGGTCTACACCTCAACATGATAATGAAGTCAGTGCTGTAACTGAAAGATGCAAGATGTTTTTTGTGGTCAAAAAGTGCTGCCTTTTCTTCTGACAAATGCTGGTCCAACGGAAAAGCACAATATAAGCACATTGTGTTCAACACTGACCCAAGGGTGCTCAATTATTGTGTATGTCAATAAAGTTTCAACATGTTCTTTCCAGATAGTCTCAAAACCAGCAAAAAAACCCTACAACATATATCCTCATCTATTGGTGTCTTTGTAAATCGGCCATGTCTGCAGAGAGATTTATAACTGGCAAGTCTAATGTTTCTGACAATAATGCAAGCCCTTCTTAATGTTTAAATTTATCTCTCTCTCCTCAATTTAATAGGTAAAATATTTTCTAACTGAAATCCTGATAGGTAAATGACATGCAATGAAAACCAAATTTCTTTACACTAATTTTAATTTATATAATCCAGTTTGTGTGTTCTTCAAAACAAAACCAGCTTCAGGTTTAGTTTTTTTGTTTCTTTATGCTTGAGAGAATTATGTCAGTTCAGATCGTAAAGGGTTAAAGTAATCAGACACAACTGTAAGATCAATATACTGATCCCTAGACCACAGTGTGTTCAACAATCTACCATTGGATTTGTTTCACTGAGATTATTTAAAACTCTGTGCTTCCAGCAGGTTTTGTAAAACATTTAACTTCAGCCCTAACAGCTTAAGCTAATCAATAAATAAAAGTGCATTTGACTACCAAAATCTCAACTGGTCACATGCAGTGGTCTTTATTTCAACCAGGACTGATGTAAAGATTTTAAAGTGCATAACAGCCATTATCTAAATAAGCCTTTCTTGAGCACCCAATCCTTGCATCACCTTTGATCCAGTTATAATTAAAGCCAAAAGTACAGACGTCTCATTTAATTCCAATGTGGGCAGTTTTAATGCAGAAAGTTTCGCATGTGGTTTTCAGCTCATGACCATCTGTTTCTGGATTTCATGTATAAACAGGACACTTTAGGGAACAGAGATTAATTCAGCTTTGGAATGCCATTCAAAACGTGTTAGCAGTTTTCCTCCTCTGGGTCAACCAAAGCAAAAACAAGTTAGCCGCTTGGTTTGGAAGGTATTGTTAATATTAGAATTATTGAATAATGGACTCTGACTAGTCTTATGTTTTAAATTACAGGTCACTCTCAAATAAAACTATTAATCTTTTTTTGTCTCTGCAAGTTTTACAGTCCTGTTACACTTATTAACTGCTGGCAGCGAAGAAACTTTTAAATGAAAGCCAAATTGCTTTAGTCATGAGAAAGGAAATTAAAGCTCACTCTGGGGGGAAAAATTTCACTGTGAGATCCTCCCAAGGTAGAGTTTCATAACCTCCTGCATGCCTGCTAAAGATGTCACTGCATGCAGGACTGCGTATGTTACTGATATAAAAAGAAGGCCTTAATAGGAACAACATGTTTGTGTCTGAGGGATTAAAACCAACGTGTTTTACATTGCAGGACAAGCTCTGGGTACTGAAAGAGATGGTTGGCAACAGGACAGCTGGCTGTGGGTACTCACCAGATTCATTTGGTGGGCATTCTTTAACGAAAAAGATCTCATTGAGATTGTCCTCCTCTGGTGCCAGCCCCTGCTGATGTAACTGTAGCCTGTGCAGGCTCTCTGTCTGCTGGTGTTTCAGAGACCGTGCATGCTGAACCAGGTTCAGCTTGGCCTTGGTGGTGTAGTTGCAAAGGCCACAGTTGTAATAGCAAGACTTGGAGTTCGCCGCACTCTCATGCTTTTGCAAATGCTGGAAAAAAAACAAAACCAAAAGAGGACAATGAGAGTAATGAGAACACAGTCTGCTTCTCTCCTCATTCCTGCTTGTAAACATTATCTTAGAATGGACTCCCAGAAAAATAGTGAGGAAACCTGTAGAAGATGATATCTGTGAAGAGAGATTAACTGCTACTCCTAATCCACTACTGGAATCAGGGTGGTGGCCTGCTTACTATTACTAAAGATCAAACTAAGCAAGCTGGCCAAGCAACCAGCAATAATTAAAGTCCAAAAAAGAAACAACCTAAAAGACGCAAGATAATCAAATGTCAAACTACGATTTTTCATTAAGATTGACATCAATTTTAATCAAAAACACCCACTGACTGATTAGAACCTAAAGTATCTTACAATTTATCCTATCAAAACTCCTACAGGACTCAGTTGGACATGTTATATGCTACATAAGTTTGTCATAACCCATTCTAAGTTGCAATACAATAACGCCAAATTCTGACAATTGAATATAATAGGGAACTTCTTTTTTCTTTAATATGCCTCAAGTCAAACAATCCTAAACACAGTAACAAATGTATACAGATTCAGTATATACAGTACTCTTATATACAGTATAAACATACAGTTATACATCAGATATATGCAAAGAAACACTCAGTCGATGTGCATATATTCACACAGATCTATTTTCTACACACATTCATGTATTTACTTATACACATTACTTAGTTTGTAAAATAAATAAAGTTCTAAGCAGAGATAGTAGGAACTGCAGTTTCCTGTAGATATGTTGATTTGATTATTATTTTTAAGTCAGCAGGCACTACCATTCAGAATTAGTTTATTTACTGCATAATCTCATTGACCTCCATGTGCTGCAATCTTTATTTGTGTAAATGACGGATACCACAGGAATCAGAGTCTTCAGTTCTTCTCAGGAGCTGCAATTGGATATATTTGAAATGTTGATTTTTTTTTGCCAGTGAGCTTGAAACAGCTCTGGCTGTAGTAGTGTATGTGAGAGGCTAAATAGGGTTACTTTCATTCCTCAAATTTAGCATTTGTTCCAATACATTTTTTTTGTTAAAAAAGGGTTAAGATAAATGACATATTTACAAGACAACCCACGCAAATCTGAAACTTCCAACTCGCAGTAAGTGATGTGCCCTTTTGAGGGCTGAGGCCCCTTTTCCACATTGAGAATCAAACTGTTTTTAATCACATGCCCTTTGCTAAAAAGAGATGTTCTTTCGTTTTCTGATGATAAATTTTACAAAACAGAATTAACGTGCTGTCTATCTAAACTAGTCTTGATTTGAATTAGGGGGGAGAAAAGCTAAAAGTAAAACATGCACAATTTGATGTAAGAAAAGTTATACTGCAGACCTAGAAGGGCTCAACATATCTCAAAACATGGAGCATGGATCTCTAGGCCTTGATTTACTTCAGTCAATAGCCTTTGCTACACAAGTAAATGTTAAGCGGATAGGTGAAAATATATTTAATATGCATCAATAAGGACAATATTAAACTTTAAAACGTACGAGTAATGTACTTGAATTTAGTGTATTTGACAAACTGCCATTTATTTGGAACATGTTGAACTGAGTCACAACGTATATCATTCAATTTTAGAAAAAACAATTTTTGGAAAGCTCACCTGGAAATGAAGGTCTTTCATCATTAATCCTTCAAGCACACAACAGCATTCGACATTGCACAAGGACAAGAATTGGTTACTTTTATAGTGTCATTATATGCTTTACTAAGTATTTATTTGTAGGTATTGTGGTTTTGCACTGGCCTACTCTAAAATAACTTTAACATAACAAATCATCCTGCATAACGTTAATGCACAAGCTTCTATTTACCTTTGCTATCCTTACAAATCACATCTTTCCTTCTATTAGGGATAGAAGGAACTAGCTGATATTGTCCACAATACACAAAAGGTCTTTCTACAGGAGAGATTAAATCAAACCTTTTTTCTTATGCAAATTGTGTAACTGTTTACTTCATTTAGTATGCAAGCAATGTTATTTCAAGGCTTTTTTCTCTTTGATAACTAATGGGTCAATTGTTAAGAGTTGTTGTGCTTGCATGCAACATAAACAGGGCTGCCCTTTTCAGCATTTGATCGACATACCTGGCAGAATTTCTGAATCACGCTAATTGGGGAAAAAAAAACAGGCATATGAGAAGTAAGAAATGAGCCACCCAAAGACGTGATGTCTGGGATCTTCAGGGTCAAGCTTTGCAAAGTATGCCTTACAACAAAAAAAGTGTTAAAGAACAGCATGTCACTTACTTTTTGAAAAGGCCCCGTTAGCTGAGTGGCCTAATTTGAACAACCTTTTGCATTAAAGATGCTTTACCAAACTTTCTGGTCTGTCATTGTGCCATGTCAAATGCTCACAGTTGAGTTATACCCCCAAACAGGGTAAGCATATCAAATGTGCTTTCGGTACTCACAGGCTAATGAACAATGAATAAAAACAAAAGCAACAGCAAGGCTTCTATTATCAAATCTTCCGCAAAGTACAAAAACGCCTTCTCTGGTGTGGAGGAAGTGCCAGTAAGCCTGCAGGTGTGAGCTGGTTAAAGAAAATACTTTGCTAAATAGATTCTTTGACAGTCAGGGATTAGAGTCATAGTACCAGTGGTAACACAGATCTTTTCCTTTAACTTACAAAATTTTCTCACGAGTCTGCAAGAGTTTGTCCCATCAGGGGCTTTAGGGCTATTGAAATGTCTTAAGTTTTAATTAAGTTGGAATTGTCAGAATAAAGCTTTTTTGGCACAGAGTCAGGGTCATTAATTACTGCTATCTTTGTTTCTTTCAAGAGAAAGATCCATGGACTAGCTGGGTCAGTTATACAGCAACTCCTTTATATCCTGCAGTCTATATTCAACTCTGAGCACAACTTGATTAAACAGTTTACCAATTACTTTGATTTGTGATTCTGTCAAGGATCCTGTTTACAGATTATGTGCATAATCTTGGGTTATGATGTTTTGAGAAGGTAACAAAACTGAACGCATTTTGTCAGGGAAGAGAAAGCAAACAACAAAGGATGCGAAAAACAGTCATTTTTTTATTGTTTCCTTTTTGAAACCAGCAGAATACTTTTGATGGCTTGCACAATTGTATAACCCCATGATGTATTTCTCTGTTCCCACCGTGGGCAATTTGGCATTGTAAAAACTATTGCAAATGAAGAATCGCAAACAACATGTTTTTATTTCCGGGGTTACAATGGCACAGTATTTTTTGTTTGCAAATCTCAGAAACTGGTCGCCTACAAGCTGTAAGTATCTCGATATTAAATCGTTATTTTTCAACACCTGAGAATAAAACTCAAGTCCCCAACATATTCCAATTGCAGAAATATTTCTCTTTCTTTTAACAAAGGCAACAATGCTATATCCATAGGAGATTTATACATAAACAGTTTCTAGTGTGTAACTTAATGCAAAATAGAATGCTTAAATAGTTCAGTATCAGTAGGGGAGCACTTTGGGACTAGTGATCATAATTCTATTAGTTTTAAAATAGTTATGGAAAAGGATAGACTTGACCTGAAAATTAATGTTCTAAATTGGAGGAAGGCCAATTTTGATGGCATTAGGCAAGAGTTTTCAAAAGTTGATTGGGAGAGGCTATTTGCAGGTAAAGGAACAGTTGGAAAGTGGGAGCCATTCCAAAATGTGATAGCAAGAGTCCAGAGGCAGTATGTTCTTGTTAGTGTGAAGGGCAAGGCTGGTAGGTGTAGGGAACGCTGGACGAGGAGACAAATTGAAGCTTTGATCAAGAAAAAGAAAGAGGCATATGTCAGGTATAGACAGCTGGAATCGAGTGAATCCCTAGAGGAGTACAAAGGCAGTAGCAGTATACTTGAGAGGGAAATCAGGAGGGCAAAAGGGGGACATGAGATAGCTTTGGCAAATAGGGTTGGAGGAGAATCCAAAGAGATTCTACAAATACATTAAGAGCAAAAGAGTGACTAGGGAGAGAATAGGACTCCTTAATGATTAACAAGGCGGTCTATGTATGGAACCGCAGGAGATGGGTGAGATACTAAACGAGTATTTCATGTCAGTATTTACTGTGGAGAAGTATATGGAGGCTAGAGAACTTGGAGAAATAAATAGTGATATGTTAAAGTGTTCATATTACAGAGGTGGTGGTGCTGGGCGTCTTAAAACACAAAGATGGATAAATCCCTAGGACCTGATCAGGTGTATCCCAGAACTTTGTGGAAAGCTAGGGAAGTGATAGCTGGGACTCTTGCTGAAATATCCGTATTGCTGGTAGCCACAGGTGAGGTGCTGGAAGATGGAAGCTGGCTAACATGGTGCCATTACTTAAAAGAGGTGGTAAGGAAAGGCCAGGGAACTATAGACCAGTGAGCCCAATATCAGTGACAACAAGGTGCAGGGCTGGATGAACACAGCAGGTCAAGCAGCATCATAGGAGCAGAAAGGCTGACATTTCGGGCCTAGACCCTTCAACTCTGAGGGACAGATTTTACATGTATTTGGAAAGGCAAGAACTGCTTAGGGATAGTCAACATGGTTTTGTGCATGGGAAATCGTGTCTCACTAATGATGGAGTTTTTTTTGAAGAAGTCACAAAGAAAATTGATGAAGGCAGAGAGGAAGACATTGTCTCTATAGACTTCAGCAAAACATTCCTCATGCTTCTGCATGGCAGACTGGTTAGCAAAGCTAGATCACATGGAATACAGGGAGAACTAGTCATTTGGATACAAAATTAGCTTGAAAGTAGGAGACAGAAGGTGGTGGTGGTGGAGGGTTGTTATTTTTGGACTGGAGGCCTGTATGTCGCCAGGATCAGTGCTGGGTTCACTGTTCTTTGTCATTTATATAAATGATTTGGATGTGAATTTAGGAGGGATGGTTAGTAAGTTTGCAGAAGACACCAACATTGGTGGTGTGGTGGACAGTGAAGAAGGTTCTCATAGAGTACAACAGGACCTTGATCTGATAGGC